AGACTTTTTCTTGGAGTACCTTTGATATACTTCAAGATGCTAATTAATGCATCCCAATGTCCTTTATAAGGGGCATTAAGGAACTGACTTACTACACTAACAGCAAAAGAAATGTCAAGTCGAGTAATTGGGAGGTAATTTAGTTTACCAACCAATCTTCTATACTTTTTTGGGTCAACAAGAGACTCTTGTCGACTTGGTAGAAGTTTAGAATTAGAATCTATAGGGGTATCTACAGATTTTGCCCCATTTAACTTGTTTCCTCCATTATATCCAAAGAAATTACAATATCATGTGGATTGTGCGACCTCTATTCCCAAGAAATATCAAAGTTTTCCAAAGTCTTCTGTCTAAAAATGGTGACATAAGTGGTTCTTCAACTGTGTAATGCCATGATGGTCACTGCCAGTGATAACAATATCGTCCACATATATAACCAAGTAAATGCATCATGTGACTGAGTAGTGATCAACTTCACTTCGAATCACCCTAAATTGTTAGACAAAGATGCTGAATCTACCAAACCAAGCTCTTGGAGACTGTTTAAGATCATACAAGGATTTTCGAAGACGAAAAACTAATCCTGAAGACTCCCTCTGGGCAACAAAACCAGGAGGTTGCTCTATATAAACTTTCTCAGCAAGGTTGCCATGAAAGAATGCATTCTTAATGTCAAGTTGATGAAGGTGCCACTATAGTCATGGACAAGATCAAGCACACAGAGGTCATTTTAGCGACCGGAGAGAATGTGTCACCATCATCCAAGCCAAAGATTTGAGTATAGTCTTGTGCCACAAGACGAGCTTTAAGGCTATCCACTTGACCATCAAAACCCACTTTAACAGGGTATATCCACCTCCAACCAATAACATATTTACTTGAAGGAAGAGGAACGAGGTCCTAAGTGTCATTGCTGTGAAGCGCACACATTTCATCAAGCATTACTTGCTGTATTCTTAGGAATAGGTACGATCTCAAACATCAGAATGAACCAAATTAAAAGGAGATGTAACTTGCTTATTTTTATTACTCGGAAAGAAACTACAGATATGTTATCCTAGTTGACACAACTCACAAGAAAGTATAGATAACTAAGAGAGACTTGACTTCAATAGTTGTAGTTTGAGAATACTCGGATGTCCTAACCTAGCATGTCTGTAGCGGATTATTTTTAAAAATTACACCTATGAGAAAAGAACGGATTAGGGTTTCCTTCTTATTAGACCATGTTAAGATGAGAGAAAACAAGAAGACATGAGCAGAATTCTGTGTGTTTCTTCAAGCAATGGGCTGTTTGATCGATTTTTTTTTAAATTAATTATTTGGTACATAGGCTAAGCAACCAAGACTTATCTTGTGTGAGGTATACACATATTTTTGAATCACAAACAAATTTTGATTTTCATAGACATCACCCGTGTCCCTATGTGAGTATCGTTTCATATTGTGTGTCCATGTCGTAGCCAATGCTTCATAGGTTGTTTCATTTTCTTTTGTTTGTTTATTTGATCTTTATTTTCATTAGTAGAGAGTTGTTTTGATTGTTTCTTAATTGTTATGAAATATTAGAAACAAGCTTGTGGGGTAATGTTGCTGGTAGACCTTCTTTTCCAAGCAGAGTGCTCAATTGAGCTGGAGCTTTCACTTATCTTTTGACAATAAGACAATAATTGGAGCTATTGTTTCTATTCTTGAGGAAAATAAAACGCATCTAAACTCTTCTATTAGGCCTTTGCCGCCTGGGCTCAAGCACTCTTCTTTTGTGCTCACAGCTTGAAGTAAGGTATGTTGAGGTAAAAGTAAAGTAAATAAACAAAGACCCTTTGTGTCTATGTGAACCATGTTATTTGTTGTATGCTGCTTTGCCTATTTTTTTTATGATGTTCTATGCAGGCAGCATGTGGTCTACAAGTTAAAAATGAACTTGTAATTGGTTGTATTAAAGTCAAGTACAGAAGTCAAGTACAAGTTCTACCAGCTGGTTGAGGTATCACTTGATGATAAGTGATAATGTATGATTATTTATGATCCTTAATTCTTAATTCTAGCATTAGTTCATATTTTCTTCTAATGTTGGATCTTGGTGCTTTGTGGTTTTTTTTTAACTAAACTATCATTTTGGTCTCCGAGAGAGTTTGCGTCGTACATTTTAGTCCCTGAAGACTTTCATCGGAGATTTAAGTCCCTAGACTTATACGCCGTTAATAGATAGTAATGGAATGCTGACATGTCAAAATGACGTTGGTGTGTCACGTTAAGTGACACGTGCCATTGATTATGTGACAAAAACAATGTCATATGTGGTATAATATATGTTTTCGTTTCATTTTAGTTCTTAAAATTATAATTCATCGAACATTTTAGTCCTTGAGATTCTCACGGACGAGCATTTTAGTCCATAAAATTATAACTTGTTGCTTTTTTGGGTTTATTTTACTTTTATCTTCATATCTTTCCTTCACATCTTCTTTATTTCTTCTTTTGTAAATGTGATTGTAGTTTTTCTTTGTATATATGTATGCATTCATATCTAGTATTTGGGTTTCACTTGAGCACAAAATTTTGAGTTGTAAGTGATGAAGCTGTTATTGGTGTAAGAACAATCTATTATATGGGTGTAACTTGAAGATGATGTGGCCACATGACAATCTTAAAATGCTGCAGTTTATAATGTGTTAGGATAATGACAAAAGTTTCAACATGACTTTTCTATCATTGCAAGAACTTCAATTCCCCTTGCCTTCCCCTTCTTACAAAGTCATCAACCATCTTGCAAATGCAGTTCTACATCAACTGTCTCTATTATCTTCTCCACCAACACGAGGGTTTAGTCATTTTTTTTTCTTTATTGGTTGAAACAATTAGACAAGAAGATGCTAAAGTGAAAAACCTGGTCTGGTATATACACAGACAAGTTTGTTCACTCACCAATCTTTTTAGAACTATTTGAATTTCATAACCAAAGCCAAATTGTTTTTAAAAATTTGGATCACTATTAAACTATTTTTGTGACTAAAAAGAATTTTCAACTGAATTGGTTTTGTAATCCACTCTTAGATAACATGCTTTTTATAAGATTTCACAATATTCATTTCAAAAGGTAACACATTCTAAAATTTTCTCCTTTTCACAGGAACTACTAGAAGTTTTGTCAATACAAAGTTGGTGAAGTAGATCAGTTTTATGGCATAACGCTATAGTTTAGTGCGTTGCCAAATAAAAATGTCCAAATTGTTTATTGTTAAACTGATATATCATTATGATGTGAATTTGTACGTAAGGTAATGTTGCTTTGTACTTCACCTATTTCCATCTTCCTTTGTCTTAAGCCAACTTTGTTGTTTTAGGAGTTAGATAAGAAAGTCATGTAAATAAGAATGTTTTAGAGATTTCAATACTAGTTTAAAAATTATTTTAGTTAAAAACAAGTTTTATATAAAAATAAATAAATATAAAGCTTGTTTTGATAATTTAAAATCAATTTTACCAAAAAAATTGGATTTTGAACTTGTTTAAAGGTTCTTCTAGGTCTTTTTCTACCCCGTTTTACTGCATTAGAAGTCATGTCATCCCCTCCCCTGCTAGTGCCACCAACTTTTTCACTATAGGTTTTACACCATTATTCTCATGTCTATAATTATTTTTTATCCTTTCATTTCTCATGTGGCCACTCATCTATTTTAACATTCTCATTTTTGTCACTATTTTTTTCTCATATTGTTTCTTTAAGGCAGAACAATTAATACCATAAAAGATAATTGGTTGTATTATAGTATGATGGGTACTTTGCAGTCACAAACAACTCCCAACGTCTTTCTCTACTTTAACTTCTCAACCATCATACTGTAGAATCGATCCCAAGTATTTAAACTTGGAGACTTGAAATATAATATCATCTCGAATTTTAACATCCAAAACATTATCCTCATCCTTTTTAAATAGAATTGCAATGCATATGCTTTGTCTTACTTATATTTAAGTCAAAATCCTTAGATTCCAAAGTCTCCTTCCATAACTAAAGTTTAATATTAACCTCTACTTTTAAATCTTTGTCATCTACACAGAGCATGCACTCAAGAATAATATTTTGTATGTCACTCGTAATCACATTTAAGATTAGGTTAAACAAATAAGGGCTCTAGGTAGAGTCTTGATGTAAATATATCTGTATAGGAAACTCCTTAGATATGTCTTTAGGAGTTTAGACATATGTAGTTACCTTCTCATGCATGTCTTGTATAGCATAAATATATGCGACATGAACCCCTTTCCTTTCCAAAGCCTTCCATAACACTTCTCTTAGTACATAGTCATATGCCTTTTCCAAGTGAATAAAAATCATGTGTTCTTTTCTTTATTGTGATATTTTCCGTCAACATGTGCAAAATATATATAGCATTTGTTGTAAATCTTCCTTGCATAAAACTAAATTGTTGTCAATCCCAATTTCTTTTCATAGTTCGTGCTTAATCACCTTTTCCCATCTCTTCATAGTGACTCAAGTTTAATTCTAGATATCGCCCTTTTTGTTGTATATAAGGACCAAAGTGCTCTTTTTCTATTCATCTCCCATATTTTTAGATCTCAAAATTTCACTGAAAAACTAGTAAGCCACTCAATTCCTTGTTCTCCCATACATTTCCAAATTTTAATAGGAATATTATTAAGGCTAATTGTTTTACCATTATCCAAAATCTTAAGGGCTTATTTTACTTATCACACTCAAATCCTACTGTGATATGTCAAATTTAGATCAGACAAATGTGTATATATATATATATATATATATATATATATATGCTAATGTCCCTAATAAAAAGAATGTACTATAAAATATTAACTTTCAAATTTAAAAATTACTTCTATTTGGACTTTGTTGCATTAATTTATTTGAAGCCATGATCAAGTTGGACACTGAATTTGGAAAAATTTCATGATTAAGGTGAAACTAAGTGGATGTGATTAGGCTCTATAAATTAAGAGTAAGTTGGCCCCCAAGGAATAAAATAAAAATGCCTTAATAATATCTCAGTAAGATGTATTGTACATTTAAAGATTGGAGAAGAGCATGAAGATGATTGATTCACAGAGTTGGAGTCCTCTCAGCAGAGCCAGCAATGACAGTGAGCAAGTTGTTACCAAAAGGGTCACTGAGATGTTTTGCAAGGTTTTCAACTGGACCTTCTCCGGTGACATAAGCTTGGAAGTAGAAACCAAGCATGGCAAACATAGCAAGTCTACCATTCTTAATTTCCTTCACTTTAAGCAATGCAGCTTGGTCTGGATCCTTTGCTAGCCCCAATGGATCAAATGGACCACCTGGATGAAGCTTGTCTTCGAAATCCTATGAGGAATAGGTCACATTCAGTAAATCAACTGATTAACTTAAATCTTTATAATATATGATACAGTGGTAATATGCATTCCCATTTTGCAGTTATAGAATTATGAGAGTTCGCTGTGAATGAATAGTAAGTAATAAGTTTCTTCGAGCAATAATAATGTTTATGCTCTAAAAAAGGTTCAGATAAATGGATTGGACAGCAAACAAATTTCCAAATTAAAATGTTACATACCAGGCCATTGATAATTCTATAATACTCTGCACCACCCACAAGAATTATCTCAGCAATAACAGCAACAATAAGATTGATGGGGATGGGTTTCCCGAAGTAATTCAACGTACCCCCATCAAGAAGCAAAGCTCCGGTCTGCATTCATTCCACAGACAAAATCAGCTTAATGTGAACAACGCAATCACAAGTTTTCAATCAAGGCCGTTTTAAAATATTCCATATGATAAATTAAAAACCTAAACCCTATTGAAAATTTAGATTATTGCCCAATAATCAGGATTAATATAAGACATGGTCAAAACAATGAACGCAGAAAATGGAATTGATGATATGACTAAAATAAATGGAAGGAATAGAGTGATATTTGATCATGGCAAGCATGTGGTTCTGCGTCAAATCCAACAAAACTAAGATCCATTTCAGCGCTACACGTTATAAGTTTAACATGATTTTGTTAGGTTTCTAAACATGTTTTGAAACTTCTTACAGAAAAGCTACTAGCAGCTGGCAGGGGCTTAACGACAGGGCATCACAATTCAACTTTTTCCAATTTTACAGGTTGTACAGGAAAAATGAAATTTGGATTTAAGACCCAAACGTAATTGTAAACAACATTTGATTTTTCCTAGTGAATTAAGTGCAGTGACTACTTAAGTTATTACATGGAAATCTTTATATTTTTGCTTCATTAATCCATGCATGGTACATAAGATAGAAAAATCATTTACAAATGAAGATTAAATTAAAAGGTGATTAGCAAATTTATAGTTTTGCACCAACAAGATTCACCCAAGGAAACATCAAGAAGATAATGTATATACTGAATAGAGGTATTCCTTTCCCGATCATCTGTCAACTACTTTCCAGCAGATACTTGTTTAGCCAAAATATGGTTTGACACAATGTTGTGAGGTGCATCTAAATAATTAATTTGTTGAGAGTAATAACAAAACCATTGTATTAATGAAGTTGAGGGGTTGTAGAGAGCTTGCAAACCTTGAACCATACAGCCTCAGGACCACAGTTAGCTCCAAATTTGTTAAAGGCTTCAGGAATGATGAATCCAGCAGCACCAAGCATTGCCCATCTGGCGTGAATCAACTCAAATGCCTGATATCTGCAACACATCACATCATCAAACATACATTTTAGAAATTCAGCATTTCAGTGTTTATATTAGATATCTAATTTGGAGTGTTTGACATACTTGGCGAAGTCCTCTGGCTTCTTGCTGAGACCAAATGGGTCATAACCATAACTGCAGAGATCAGCAAATTAACAAAACAAGAAGAATTAAACATTCAACAATTTCAAATTCCCAATAAAAAAGGAAAACGAGGAGACTAAAGAGAAGAAGAGTCATACTCTCCGGGCACTTCTCCGTTCAAATACGCCGGGATATCTTCTCTGTCCAAGAGACCCTCTGGCAAGAAGATCCTTCTATCAGGACCTGCCACCAAATAAAAGCTAAAAGTTATAACACTTTGGCTGTGGATACATATTTATTCTATTAACTCTTTTTAAATTATAAATAATGTCATGAATTTAATAATAAAATTTGTTAAAATAAGTTATTTTTATAAGTTATATTAAGATATTTATTGAAAAAAGAGAGTCATAAATTATTTTCACAAATTCATAAAAGTAAAAACAGAGACTTACCATACCACTTGGCGAGTTCGTCGCTGAGAGGAGATACAGAGGACTTTTGTTTAGAAGGTGGTGCTGCTTTCTTTTTGGAGAAAAGAGCAACGGTTTTGAAGGTTGAAGGGGTAGAGGGTGATGGAGCAGACCTGGTGGCGCCACTGAAGCTGAGGGGGTTTCCAAGCATTTCCGACATCCCCAAGGAAGCAGCCGCGGTGGAAGCGGCAAGAGAAGCCATGTTTTGGAACCCTCACAAGCTTAGGTGAAGCAGTGTTATGGTGGAAGGGTGAGAAGAGGAAGTTACTATATGCTTGGTTTGGTGGATGTACACGTGCCACGTCAGATTCATGATCTTGGGGTGTGATTGGTCTGCATGCAAAATGTGTAATCTAATGCAAGAATCTGATTGGATTTTCCCTCGTACGTGGAAGATCATGGAGCTTACGTGGGATGCTCCTTATCCTCCGTGTTGCTTACGTTTGGATAATATGTTTTATCCGGTTTATGTACCTCATCCATCTTTCTCCATCGTCCATATCCTTTGCCATCAAAAAGTAACATAACATGGATCCAGTCAGCAGAAAGATACAATGTCTACCACATGATCCAAATACCATCTTTTTGGGCCAGGCTTTTTAACCCACTTCAGCCCACCCAATTACACTCCTAATTCTGAAAACCCATTTCTTATTAAATTCTCAAAACAAATCTAACATCTCATTATTTTCAAATTCTACTGTAGAAATCTAATCATTCGCTTAAATAAAAAATAATTTCCTTAAATGAATTAGATATTCACTTAAGCAAATTTAAATAAAATGAAATAATTAAAAATTCACTTAAGTGACATCATATAAAGTTAAAAAATATGGACGTTATTAAAATATAAGGAAATATTTTGGATAAATAGTCTATCCCATTCCATTAATGAAATATAAGTGTTCAAAATGAAAAAACTAAAATTGTAATCCATTACAAAACAATAAATGTTTGAAATTAAAAAAAGAAGCAAATGTCCAATTTAAATAATGAACAAGCATTGTCCTATTTGAAGTATTTATGTATAATACATATTCCTTGTCTTGCATGTGTTGAATATGATTTTCTTCAATATTTGCAATATGATCTCATCATATTCCCTTGCTTCTTCACCTTGTTCTCCATCTCTTACTTCATTTCCATCAATGTCTTTCTAGACTCTTTCCTTCAGTTGTACTAGAAGTCAATTGTCTAATGCAATACTTTTAGTAACAATTATTAAACGACCAATAATTTTTTCATGCATACCAAATAGATACCGAACTGTTGGTTAGTAATTTAGCAACATGTATTAGGCTAGGCCCATTGTACTTAGAGGTCCAAGTTAGATCAGTTCAATTTTTGTTTTTTGGTTATTGTATACTTGTTATTCAGTTATGACAGATTAATTCATATTTTTTAGTTGTATGATTGACATTCTATTTTTATTTTTTTATCAATAATAATCAGTTACATTCTTCCACTACTCTCTCTTAATCTCTCTCTCTTTACTCCTTCCCTCTAACAATGGTATTAGAGCTTCAAGATTAGGGAAGCACAATAGTTGTGAATGGTAATGGAGGCACACTGCTGGTAAACATGCCAATGTTAGATAGCAAAAACTTGAACAGCTATGATCGATGGTGCATAAAGATGAAGGTGATCTTTGGATTCCAAGAAGTCTTGGATATCGTTTTGAGCGGCTACAACGAGCTACCAGAGACTCCCACTGACGCATAACGAGCCACATTTCACGATGCCAAGTGACGAGATTGTAAAGCCTTGTTCTACATTCATCAGTACTTTAACAAAAGCAACTTCGAGAAGATCTCATTGGCAAAAACGGCAAAAGAAGCTTGCGACATTTTGGCACAGAGTTATGCTAAAGTAAAGAGGTTGAAGACGGTGCGACTTCAGACCTTACGTTGTTATTATGAGTTGTTACAGATGGGAAGTCAAAAAAACTATTCAAGAATACTTCTCATAATTGCTTTCCCTCACCAATTTGATGAAATCATGTGGTGAAGAATTGAAAGAACACGTGGTGGTCGAGAAAGTTTGAAGGACTCTTGATACAAAATTTGACATGATTTCTATTATGATTGAAGAATCCAAGAATCTGGATTCATTGAAGTTGGAAGAATTGTAGGGGTCGTTGGAGGCTCATGAACAACAATAGTGTGAAAGAGATGGTGATAAATCCAGCTCAGAACAAGCTTTATCAGCCAAGCAATATAAGAAGAATGAGTGATGGAGGGAAATTCAAGAAAAGAGGTTGTGGAAGAGGTTTTTGAGGAGGCAATAATGGAGGTCATAGATTAGAAAACTTAGGAAAAGAGGACAACATGAGAACACCTCACAATGAAGAGGTGGAAGAAGAGGCAACAATTCACAATGGAGAGGTGATAGATCTGGCTCAAGTTTTGTTTTTGATAAAAGTTATGTGTAGTATTATAATTGCAACAAATATGGTCATTATGCGGCTGATTATTGGAGTAAAGGTAATTCAAGTAATAGAGAAGAAAAAGTCAATGTAGCACAAAAAGAGGACTCTGAGGATGAAGTTTTATTAATGATAACTACTGTAAAACTAGAGAAAACATATGAAGAGTCTTGGTAGTTGGACATAGGTTGTTCCAATCATATGTCATTTCAGAAGAGCTGGTTCATTGAATTGAATGAAAAGATCAAAACTAAGGTAAAATTTGTAGATAATTCCACAATGAAATTTGAAGGAAAAAGAAAAATTCTGATTAGAAGAAGAGATGAAAAAGCAACAATAATTTCTGATGTACTTTATGTCTCTACCATGAAGCACAATCTATTGAGCATTGGTCAGCTCTTGTAGAAATGTTACCTGGTTGATTGGAAATGAAAAGAGAGAATTCTTGATAAAAAAGAAATACTAATTTTAAGAGCCCCTCTAAGCAACAACAGGACCTTTAGAGTTGATATCTTAGTGTTAAACTACATGTGTTTTGCAACTGCAGTTTCTAATGTTAACTGGTTATGGCACTTGAGATTTAGTTAGCTAAATTTTGGAAGCCTGAGCCAACTAGCAGAGAAAGAGATGGTGATAAGATTGCCTCATATTCAGAAAAGTGAAGTTACCTATGAAAGTTGTATGCTTGGAAAAAAAGCAAGAAATCCATTCAAAGTGTATTTGAAGACCAAGAGCAAAGATGTATTAGAAGTGATCTACAAGGACCATTTGAAGTATCCTTACTTGGAGGCAACATATACTTCATTACATTCATTAATGATTTTAGTAAAAGAATTTGACTATATTTGCTTGGTAGTAAATCAATCAAAAGCCTTTAATTGCTTTGTTGAGTTTAAGAAATTAGTTGAGAAACAAAGTGACAAAGTCATTAAAATAGTGAGATCAAATAGTGGTGGTGAGTATAACAATGGTGAATTTGCATCTTTTTTCAAGAAAGAGAGTATTATACATGAGATTTTACCCTCATATACACCATAACACAATGGTATTGCTGAAAGAAGAAATAGAACAATTCTTAACATGGTTAGAAGTATGCTGAATAGCAAAGGTTTGTCACACTCTTTCTAGGGTGAAGTTGTTGCTACTGCAACTTACATTTTGAATCTTTGTCCAACTAAGAGAATTAAGGAGAAGACACCAGAAGAGGTTTGGTCAGGAAGAAAACTTAGTGTAAAGCATTTAAAGGTGTTTGGTTCAATTTGTTGGAGACAAATTCTTGATGAAAGAAGAAGAAAACTTGATGATAGGAGCATGAAACTAATTATGGTTAGATATCATCCAACAGAAGCCTATAAGTTGTATGATCCCATCACAAGGAAGATTACTATCAGCAGAGATATAATAGTTTATGAGAAGGCCAGTTGGAATTAGGACTCTTTAGAAAGAAATATGAATAGCAATTTGGAACTTTCCTGGGATGATTCAAAAGATAACAATGAATTGATGCCAAAAGCAATACCTTATAATGAGAATAATGTGAAAATAGCTGCAGAATTGGAAAAAACAAACCACCAAGAACAATAAGAGCACATGCATGGCTTAGTGTTTATGTGATAAGCTTGCAGTTACAACAGGAGGAAAACTTATTGGAGACACTGAGGATGAAAATGATCTAGTCCATTTGGCCTTATATGTTGAGATAGAATCAGAACTAGTGTGCTTTGAAGATGCAATTGGAGATCCTAAGTGGTTTGAGGCAATGAAAGAAGAACTGCTTGCAATCTAGAAGAATCAAACTTGAGAACTAACTAATCTACCAAGGAATCAAAGGCCAATAGATGTAAAATGGGTGTATAAAACTAAGTTGAAGCTAGATGGATCAGTTGCAAGGTATAAAGTCAGACTTATGGCAAAGGACTTTCTTTAGAGAGAAGGCTTGGATTATAAGAAAGTTTATGCTCCTATGGCTAGAATGGAGACAGTGAGAACTGTTGTAGCTCTTGCAAGCTATAAAGGATGAGAAATGCACCAAATGGATGTTAAATTTACTTTTTTAAATGATGAATTGGAGGAGGAAGTGTATGTTGCATAGCCACCAAGATTCATAGTTACTGAAGAAGAACACAAGATACCCAAATTAAAGAAGGCTTTGTATGGCCTGAAACAAGCTCCAAGAGCCTTAAACAACAAATTTGATGACTTTCTTATGTAGCAAGGTTTTACTAAGTGTGAAGTAGAGTATGGAATTTACTCAAGAATTGAGGTTGGTGAAGTTTTGATAGTATGCTTATAGGTGTTATATTGATTGAGAAATTCAAAAGAAGAATGAAGGATTAGTTTGAGATGATTGATCTAGGAAAGGTATCATATTTTCTTGGCATGGAGTTTACTGAAAGCAAAAAATGAATTCTAGTTCACCAAAGTAAATATGCTAAAGAAGTGTTGAAGAAATTCAAAATGAGTGAGTGAAATGCAGCAGCTACACTAGTTGAAGCAAATTTGAAAGTTGACAAAGATAAAGATGGAAAGCTTATGAATGCTACACTCTACAGGCAAATGGTTGGTTATCTAAGGTATCTTTGCTGTCGTAGACTAGATTTTTGTTTTGGTGTTGGTCTGCTAAGCAGGTTTATGGAGAAACACAAAGCATCTCACTTTGCAGCTGCTAAAAGAATTCTGAAGTATATAAGAGGGACAGTAGATTATGGTATTCTACTACCAAATGCTACACATCAGAATAGAGGAGAGTTAGTTGGTTATTCAGATTTATATTGAGCTGATGATAAGAATGAATGCAGAAATACATCAGGTTATGTGTTCTTGATGGTAAGTCACTA